CCTTAAACAAACTAGGGAAAATTGTATAAAATAGCAAACTAATAACCTAAATTAAATAGAATAGCTAGGTTTTGATTTAATTGTGCTCCATAACAAGCATTATCTAAAATTTGCCAGCGTATCTCTCCCAGGAATCTCGCTCGCCACTCTCTATTCTCGCTCGCCTCTCTCGCTTTATACACAGAAGTGTATAATTCTGCTTCTGTTTTGTATAAAGCGAGAGAAAATTGTATATACACATGCAAAAATGTATATCTTCGTGTTATACACTTAATTATACAATTTACAAACATTTTACTTCAAAAATTGCAGAGAAAAAGACGAATGAATTATACAATTGCGAATTATACAATTGCAGTGAAATAAAATTTTCTCTAGCTTTATACAACAAAAGTGTATATATTGTGTTTCTGTTTTTGTATAAAGCGAGAAAAACATATATCTTTTTGCTATAAACTTATAATTATGCAATATACATACATTTTAATTCGATTCAACTATATGCAAAACAAATTATACAATTGCAGCGAAATAGGCCAGCGGATTATACAATTTAGGCCTGCGAATTATACACTTGTATATGTATAGCGAATTATACAGTTTTATGTTTGCTATGGAGCGCAATTATGAAAAGTTTGCTATATTATACAAATATGAATTTTTTGTTTGCTATATGTAAAAGTTACCCAACAAACTATTGTTCGACTTTTGAAATTTGCTCAAAGGAAAAAATGTACATTTGGGCCACTTTAAGAAGTAAGGTATATCCTGGGTTGTTCAAAAAAAGCCCAAACCTTTAAAACCCTCACGAAGCCCAAATCATCGTCTTCTCGATATCGCCAACTATTATGGGGAATTGTGCCTGACCTCCATTGTCGACGGAGCTCAGTTTTGAGGAGTAACGAAGATTAGTACCACAATGCCACCCTTATGCTAGGTACTTTGATGATAATTTGATTGCAACGAAGCTTTTCTCTCAGAAAGTGGAGAGTGAAAGATATGGAGATTGAAGGCAGTGTACTTCAGCTTGATGATTGAGGTACCGTAAAATTTTGTCTACATTGTATGTTTTAGTTTATCTATGGTGTTCGCTTGTTAATTAGATATATATAGATTTACTTATCTCTTTAGTTTCAAGATGAAGTGTAGGATGTTCTTAATGGTGTGAAGCCTTTTGGGAAAATCCGTAGGTGCTTTGTCACGACCGGAATCTAGACCCCAGACGAGACCGGCGTCGTTGACCTCTCAGAGGTCGCAGACAAGCCTGCTTACGTCATTCTTACTTTACATAGATTAATTTTAGCGGAAAATTTGAAATTTTTGATTCTTTAATCATACTTGCTGAACATTCTTAACATTTCGTAATCGTTCATCATCAACCATCTAACATTTAAGAGATAAGCAACTGAAAGAAATAATTCATTAAGTATTAATTGTATATCGGCCAAAATAGCACCAATACAAAGTTTGAACCAAAACAGGAAAGAAACGCTAGTGGAACATGTTCCGCTAGCTCAACTCTAAAACTACGCTAGAATGTAAAACAGTAGCATCCTCGAAAGCATGAGGACCTACCAAACTCCGGATGAATACTGATGTCCGGATAGCTGCAACAACGAACCTGTAGCTCTAGCGTCCACCTGTGCCTGCACCTAAAAATAGATGTTCGTATGGAATTAGTACACACTTGTACTAAGTATGAGTATATGCAAGTACACACCAGGGACATGCATGAGGAAGAATAGCTCTTTCCTAACAACATGATTTTTGGAAGTCAAGTCAGTGGACTTGCCAAATTGAGATTGGGAAAGTTATGCCATGAGAGTGACATGCATCATTATAATTATCGTATAGCACACAAAACATAACATATTCATATAACACATAACATATAACACATACTTTCTTTCATATTATTCATTCGTATACTATGAGACCTTATTATCATAGACTTAACTTTAAGACTTTCCAAAATGAGGGCTCAACATATGGGACCTCAACTAGGGAGCCTTCTTTAGCAAACACAGAGTCTGCTTCACTCATTCATTCGTATTTCATTTCAATTCATTCATAGGCCAGTGCGAACACCAGCTATACCTAGGATGTAGTTTAAGACTTTCATCGGGTTTGCTGTGCAATGATCAGGAATGACCTAATGTCATTACCTGAATCTAGCTCACCTCTTGATTATCCTATCCTAACACCTTCGGTATCAATCATTTCTTTATATGATTCATTTGAGGCTGGCCTCATTCATTCATTGGGAACTTTAACTTTAACCGACATAGATCATGTGAGCATCATGAAATCCAGTGTCTTCCCCACACCGAAAAGAGGTGGAATCACCGGCCAAAGCAATTCAAATAACATGCTAGCGTATATGGGAATTTAACCCCGCCAGATCCCTATAGTGGCAATATAGGTTCAAAGACTAGGAGATGTGTGGAGACCCATACCCGGCAAGCCGGACAGTCTCATCTCATGAGAATTACGTGAACCTCCGCCCTTCCCGAAAGAAGGCATCACCGCTCATAGCTAGCCTATCGGTGCTCAGTATAAAGTTCCATTACATCCAACTCATACATCATGGAAGTTGTCTTCTAGTATGAGGGCATCATAGCTCAATAGATGATTTCTCATCTCATTATTAGTATTAAGTGTTTTAAACTCAATATTTTTCATTAAAGTACTTATAGAGACTGGTCTCTTCATTATCTTACACCCTCATTGATGAATACGTATTGGTAACATTTACTTAGGCTCGTTTGAGATTGCTCTCTCCATATACATTAGCCTCACATCATGATTGTCACCACATTCTTCATTTCATTACGTACATCTTAGGTTCACTTATTTTTTTGAACGTATGTTAAACTTATGTGTCTATACATACAAGCCATGGGGCTTCGTTTATAGTTCGTTAAGTGATTCTTATTTTCCTAAGATTATGTATTACAAGACTTATGTATCTTGTATATATACCAAGATCTTGATTTTTGATCAAAGTAGATTACATTATTCTTGAATATTTTACTCACGTATGACTTATGTATCAATACGGAGGTTTGGGCACGAGAACCCAAATCTTGAATTATTTGGACATCATTTATATTTTTCATTGATTTTAGTTCTAATATTCATAAATTTAGAACTCTAAATTAAATCTCAACATTTTCGTGACATAATACATTTTCTATTTTAATTAGAATTCTAAATTAAATTTCAATCATTTACATGAAAGAATAATTTCCTAATTTAATTAGAATTCTTATTTAAATCTCAATATTTACATAAAAGAATTAGTATTCTATTTTTAATCAAAATTCTAAATTTAATCTCAATGTTTACATAAGAGAATTAATTTTTTTCAACTTTAATTAGAATTTTAATTTATTATTATTATTATTTTTAATTACATTCGCTTGAATAGGGAGGTTGTGGGTTCGAACCCCCACAGCCCCCTTTATTTTTCTCTTATTTTCGCTGGAAATGGAGGCTGTGAGGTGGTGGGTTCGAACCCCCACAGCCTCACCTTTATTTCCTTAATATTTGTACCCCTCCCTTCAACTCTGAGGTCGTGGGTTCGATCCCCACGCCTCGCATCCCTTTTTATTCTTTTTTTTTTTTCGCGAACTGGGGGTCGTGGGTTCGATCCCCGCCCCCAGCATTCCCTTTTAAATCTTTTTTTTTTTTTGCGCGTGGCTGGGGTCGCGAGTTCGATCCCTGCCAGCCCCATTTTTTTTTTTAATTAAGGCATGCTGCAGGGAGGTCCTGGGTTCGATCCCTGCAGGCCTCAAAACTTTTTTTTTTAATTTTTTTGATGTTCAAAAATTTCCAGATTCTTTTAAAGTCTGTTTTCAAGTTCTGGAAATTTATTCTACGATTTTTCTTCACTTTTTCATCAAGTTTAACATTAATTCTTAGGGAAATTTCATGGTTCATTCATAATGTTTTAATTACACATTATATTTTTTTTTATAGATTCGTCTAACCAAGAATTACTCCCTCAATCAAGCCACCTAACATTTCATATGAACTTCACGTCTTACCCCATTTTATTCACGAAAAATATACAATCATATTACATTAAACTTTTGGAGCATTACATAAAGAACCTCATTCACTGTAACATACTTACACATAATTTCAAGAAAAACATGGTTGCCTTTCATACGATTCCAAGTACACAAACATAATCATATTCATCGCGAAAACATAATATACACCTAAATCTACCAGCAATCATACCCAACCTAAAATTCATTGGGAGCTAGTGACAGGGGCATGCAACGGGAAACAGCCTTAGTTTCGAGATGAATAACTTGAATCGTAAGGGGCCTCTTGGGAAAGGAGCCAAGAGAGAAGAAACCCATACCTTAATCGATGTTCAAACTTTAATGTTGCTGCCCGGAAAACTCCTCCAAACCACTCCCAATTCACTTCAACGCACACCTCTCTCGACGAACCTCTCTTAGCCTTGACGTTTTGATTACTTATTTTCTTTTACTTGAAAATTTTTTTGTGAGTTTTTCAAGCATGAAAACTGTTGATGTTTTTGGCAGAAATAATGTGATGAAGATGGAGAACGTGAGAGAGAGTTAAGGAGCGTGAGAGAGAGAGGACTATTTGGATTAGGAGACTAATTCAAAAATCAGTCAAATAATAAATAAATACAAATCTGTTTTTGATTTATTTATTTATTTATTCATTTAAAACGTGAAAGGACAATTACGCCCTTTAAATACTTATTTATTCTTATTTATATAAATTTTTTTTTTTGAATCGTTACATGCTTGATCCAAAACAGACGATCCATTCTATGCGAGTTGTTGTTATTTTGTAAATGCTTGAGCTTTGTAGCGTGTAAACTTAGCCATGCGTTACATAAACTGATAAATGTACACACAAGCTTGAAACAAACTGATTGCTCGAAGACATTATTCCCTTTTGCCTTTTTCTTTTTCTTGGCACCTCACACAAGGACAGAAACACATAAAGAATCAAAAAAGAAAAGAGGAGAAAAAGACCCTCACTGTTGTCTTAACTTGTATCAAATATTATTATTGAGAAGGATGATAAGGAGTGGCAATCAAGTAAAGCTCACTCTTTCTTGCTGCAGTTATTGCAGAGAGCTCAGTCATGTCCACATCCTCTGGCTTCTGACCATCAGGTAATTTCCAATCAAAATGATAGAGCAATTTGGCTAGTGGAAGATAAACATTGAACAAACCAAATGTAATTCCAGGACACATTCTCCTTCCGGCACCAAAAGGAAGATACTCAAAGTTATTCCCCAAGAAATCCACAGAGCTGCGCGCGAATCTCTCAGGTATAAAGCTTTCCGCATCTTCCCAATACTTTGGGTCCCTTCCCATCGACCAAACATTAACCATGACTCTTGTTTTTAATGGGATGGTGTATCCATTGATGTTTGTTTCTTCCCTGCATTCTCTGGGGGCTAAGAGAGGGACTGGAGGATGAAGTCTTAAGGTTTCTTTAACAACTTGTCTTAGATATTTCAATTCCTCAATAACATCCTCATCGAAAGTTTCTTTCCCTTTGAATGCTTCTCTTACTTCTGCTTGTGCCTTTTTTAACACCCTTGGGTTCCTCATCATTTCTGTCATAGCCCATGTTGCTGTTGTTGATGAAGTTTCTGTTCCCGCAGAGAACAAGTCCTACATTTTGTTATTAATCAAAGAAGAATTAACCTAAATTGGGCTGCAATAAGTAGCTCAAGAGGTCGTTTATGTATGATATACTTGTCAAAGTTGAAGGGCATTTCTTTAGTGCCTAATTAATTATGTGTATGTCTGCTTACAAAAGAATGCTAAATACTTTTTGTATTCAGTAACTCAAAAATAGTTTTAGAGATTTTCCCTATAAGTTTAAGAATACTTACAACCATAATTGCTTTGATGTTGTCATTGGTGATTGGGATTTTGAGTTCCCCACTTCCCATTAATCTTATAAGAACATCAACTAAATTTTCACCTCCAAATGCACCATTTCCCTTTTTACCACTTGCAAGATTCTTCTTGTGCTCATTGATAACATCCTCAACAATAGCATCAACATTTTTGTGAACTTTCAAGATTCTACTCCTTGCTCCAGTTAGTACACCAAGGATCTTGATTGAAGGGAAAATGTCAGCCAAACTAAATCCACTTGCCAATTCCACCAATTTCTTCACCATTTGAATGAATTTCTCTTGGTCTTTCAACAATTGATCCCCAAATGCTGTCTTACATGTAATTGAACTCGTGTACCATAAAATCCGTTCCGTAATGTTTATTGGCTCACCATGTGTCGATGACTGGATGAATTGCACGAGACGAGATGCCTCGTCGTGCAAGATGGAACTAAAGGACCGGACATTCTTGGCGGTGAGTAGTTCCATGACACATACTTTACGCATTTGTCTCCAATATTCTCCGTACGGACTAAACACAATGTCCGTGCTCTTGTAACATATTATGTCGATGGATGCTAATTTAGGCCTCGATGCAAAAGCAAGGTCATGAGTTTTCAATACCTCTCGCGCCATGTCCATCGAAGAAACTACGACCGTAGAAATTTCCCCTAGTTGAAGGTGCATGAGAGGCCCATATTTTTTGCCCAATTTTGTGAGTGCATGATGGGGAAGTCCACCTATTGCCAAGTGATGTAGACTTCCTAAGAAAGGCAATTTCCATGGTCCTGGAGGAAGTTTTTTGTTTAAGTTTCTTGATTTTTTCCATTCCACAAGTAGTAAATAGAGGAATGATAGGAAGAGGAATAAGAAAATGATATTGAATGGAAATTGGAACTCCATTAGATAGCTAAAGCTAAGTGAGGCGTGTCTCTCAAATCTCAAGCTCAAAGCTTTAATTTGTTGTGGAGGGCTATTGTCCATGAGTTAGGCTTGTGGTTGGTAAGAAGATTATATAATGTAAACAAACACTATGAAATAAAATTGGGGGTGGCGGTGGGAAGGATTGAAATGTCGAAACTTGTTTTTTATGCTTTTATTAGAAAAACCTTTTTTTTTACTTAGCTTCTAACAAGATTATGACATATATTACACTCATACCTTATTTTCCAGCCACACGTAGAGCCTCCAAGACGATTTCCTATTGATTAATGGATCTTCACGTCCTGCCACATATTTGCATGACAAAATCTATTTGCCGATGCAGTGTCGGCTGCTAAAATATCTGGTTTTATTTGGAATTAACTACGAGCTATATATACATTACTCATGTTAATTTGTCAGCAGCATCATACTCGTATCCTCAGTAATATTAATTTTAAGAACATTTGATTATACTTTTTTTTTTGGTCTTTTCTTTATTTTGGCACCTCCACTCGTAATCAAATACATAATTTACACAACAACAGAAACAGATAAAGATCAACAACAAAAATAAACCTCACTGTTGAATTCTATGTTGATCCGACTCTCCAAAAATAATGTCGTACCTTCAGAAATTTTTGAAAAGTCCGTGCAACATAGGAACTTGCATCAAATTTCATTCACGAGAAGGATAATAAGGAGTGGCAATCAAGTAGATCTCGGTCTTTCTTGCTGCAGTTACTCCAGAAAGTTCAGTCATGTCCACATCCTTAGGCTTCAAACCATGAGGTAATTTCCAATCAAAATGATACAACAATTTAGCTAGCGGAAGATAAACATTGATCAAACCAAATGACATTCCAGGACACATTCTTCTTCCGGCACCAAAAGGAAGATACTCAAAGTTATTCCCCATAAAATCCACTGAGCTATGGTCAAATCTCTCAGGTATAAAGCTTTCTGCATCTTCCCAATACTTTGGGTCCCTCCCCATTGCATAAACGTTAACCATGACTCTTGTTTTTAATGGGATAGTGTAACCGTTGATGTTTGTTTCTTCTCTGCATTCTCTGGGACTAAGAGAGGGACCGACGGATGAAGTCTTAAGGTTTCTTTAACAACTTGTTTTAGATATTTCAATTCCTCAATAACATCTTCATCGAAATCGAAAGTTTCTTTTCCTTTGAATGCTTCTCTTATCTCAGCTTGTGCCTTCGCTAATACACTTGGTTTCCTCATCATTTCTGACATAGCCCATATTGTTGTTGTTCCTGAAGTTTCTGATCCCGCAACGAACAAGTCCTACATTTCATAATCAATCAAAGAAGAATTAATGTGAATAGTTGCCCGTCAATCCAACTGCTTGAACTAAAAATAGTATGTATATAAATTTGAAAGATTTCCCCCTATAAAAGTAAGAATACTTACAATCATAATTGCTTTGATGTTGTCATTGGTGATTGGGATTTTAAGTCCCCCACTCTCTATTAATCTTAGTAGAACATCCACTAAATCTTCACCTCCAAATGCACCATTTCCCTTTGTACCACTTGCAATATTCTTCTTGTGCTCATTGATAACATCCTCAACAATAACATCAACATTCTTGTGAACTTTCAAGATTCTACTCTTTAGTCCACTTAACACTTGAAGGATCTTGATTGAAGGGAAAATGTCAGCCATACTAAATCCACCTGCCACTTCCATCAATTCTCTAAGTATTCCAAGGAATTTCTCTTGATCTTTCAACAATTCCACAAATGTTGTTTTGCATGTGATTGAGCTCTGATACCATAAAATCCTTTCCGTAACATTTATTGGCTCGCCACATCTTGATGACCGGATGAATTGCACAAGGCGTGAAGCCTCATCCTGTCTGATGGAACTAAAGGATCGTACGTTCTTGGTAGTGAGAAGTTCCAACACACATACTTTGTGCATCTGTCTCCAGTAATCTCCATAAGGACAAAACGCGATGTCCGTGCTCTTGTAAAGTATTATGTCGAGGGCTAATATAGGTCATGAGTTTTCAGTACCTCTCGTGCCATATCCATAGAAGAAACTATGATGGTAGAAATTTCGCCTAATTGAAGGTGCATGAAAGGTCCATGTTTTTTGCCCAATTTTGTGAGTGCATGATGAGGAAGTCCACCTTCTAATGCCAAGTGATGAACACTTCCTATAAAGGGCAATTTCCATGGGCCTGGAGGAAGTTTCTTGTTCAAGTTTCTTGATTTTTTCCATTGCACAACTAGTAAATAGAGGAATGATAGGAAAAGGAATAAGAAAATTAAATTGAATGGAAATTGAAACTCCATTAGATAGCTTAAGCTTAGAGACCTAGTATACACTTATCAACGTTTGGTGACGGCAATTAATCTTTTTTTAATTGTATTGTATTCAATTATCATCTTGTTGACATCAATACAATAACAACAATGTCTTTAATTAATGTAGTGCCAAATACATGATGTATTAACAAACATTAAATTAGAAATGGCAATGATGCGGAAAATCTTATCCGAATCAATATTAATTATTTGAGTATTGATATTAAATAATTCATGCCTAGAAAAGTACGGATGGAATCATAGGAGAACATGGATCCTTTGAGCGAGAGATATGAACAAAAAGAAGAAGAGAAAAGATTTATTTATGCTATTAACACAGAATTAAATTGTGTCACGTGACATTATTTATTTCAATTATTCGTTATACATATAAAGTTGAAACAAGATGACACAAATATCATGAATTACATAAAATACCCCGGCTCCTATAGTAAATATCATTCATGAGAAGGATAATAAGGAGTGGCAATCAAGTAAAGCTCGCTCTTTCTTGCTGCAGCTATTCCAGAAAACTCATTCATGTCCATGTCTTCAAGCTTCACACAATCAGGTAATTTCCAATCAAAATGATACAATAAATTAGCTAGCGGAAGATAAACATTGATCAAACCAAATGATAGTGCAGGACACATTCTCCTTCCGGAACCAAAAGGAAGATACTCAAAGTTATTCCCCATAAAATCCACAGAGCTCCCCTCGAATCTCTCAGGGATAAAGCTTTCTGCATCTTCCCAATACTTTGGGTCTCTCCCCATCGAATAAACGTTAACAACGACTCTTGTTTTTAAAGGGATAGTGTAACCATTGATGTTTGTTTCTTCTCTACATTCTCTAGGGATTAAGAGAGGGAGCGGAGGATGAAGTCTCAAGGTTTCTTTAACAACTTGTTTTAGGTATTTCAACTCCTCAATAACATCTTCATTGAAAATTTCTTCTTTCCCTTTGAATGCTTCTCTTACCTCAGTTTGTGCTTTTGCTAATACACTTGGGTTTCTTATCATTTCTGTCATGGCCCATATTGTTGTTGTTGTTGTAGTTTCTGTTCCAGCTATAAACAAGTCCTACATTCATTATTAATCAAAGAAGAATCGTCATATCATGGATTATTAAAAGTGAAAAGCTCTAACCATTCAAAGTTGGATTATCATTTTGCTTATCTACTAAATTTAAATATAATTTATTTAATGTTGGACTATGAAGTCAAACCACTACATTTTTTTAATTATGACACTATAGTTATAATTAATTATGTTAAATTCAATTAGAGTAGAAGACAAAATAATATATGAAACTCTTCCAATTCGGTGATTCTTTGAATTTATACAATATGACATTTAAAAATTTAATTTTCAATAAAATGAGAGTAACATTTACATTTATGCGACACAAAGCCTAATAGTTTTCTTAAACATCTGCATTCTATATTAACGGTAGCTTTACATAGTGTTAAAATTCAAATGGTTGGTATGACGACAATTTTGCTCTTGAACATTTGTATTTTTCTTTATGAATTCCTTCAGCCCTTACGTGTTATTACTAAAAATTATTTCTCAAATTAAAATTATGTATAAAATATTATGAAAATTTGATTAATTAAGCCTCATTTTGTTTAGATTTTTATTTAGTAATATAAGTCACTAAGATCCTTCAGTTAAAAGTAGTCAAAAATTAAATGACTAAAATGTGCTTTAAAAGTGTACTCGTCATTTTGTTTTTTTATAAAAATTAATTGTCTATTAAATTTAATTGGAAAGACCTTTCATCAGTAGAAATTCTATGAGCCTTTTATTTACAATTTTAAATGTATCATGTATTGATTTTTCTTCACCTTTAGCTTTCGACCATTTAGATATATCATATTCTTTACCAAATTATATATCCTTATTTAATATTTAATTGATGCACATTATACACTAATTCTCCTTTTATAGTCTTAATCAAATTCTCACACACACACAAAAATAATTAAAAATGTTATTTTTGTCAAATCAATGAAGAGATTGTATATTATACCAAAAGAAACAAGATCCAGTAAGGCGAAATTAGAAATCAAAATAAGCTTTGGAGAAACATTTCTTCCTTTTAGAGAGCTTGAGATAATATCTCAAGTGGCCACTCAACTATGAATTTCTTTCTCAGAAAGTCAAAGTAAGAATACTTACAATTATAATTGCTTTGATGTTGTCATTGGTGATTGGAATTTTAAGTTCCCCACTCTCCTTTAATCTTAGTAGAACATCAACTAAATTTTCACCTCCAAATGCACCATTTCCCTTTTTACCACTTGCAAGATTCTTCTTGTGCTCATTGATAACATCCTCAACAATAACATCAACATTTTTGTGAAATTTCAAGATTCTACTCTTCAGTCCACTTAACACTTGAAGGATCTTGATTGAAGGGAAAATGTCAGCCGTACTAAATCCACCTGCCACTTCCGTGAATTCTCTAAGTATTCCAAGGAATTTCTCTTGATCTTTCAACAATTCCCCAAATGCTGTTTTGCATGTGATTGAGCTCTGGTACCATGAAATCCGTTCTGTAACATTTATCGGCTCACCACATGTTGATGACCGGATGAATTGCACAAGGCGTGAAGCCTCGTCGCGTCTGATGGAACTAAAGGATCGTACGTTCTTGGTAGTGAGAAGTTCCAACACACATACTTTGCGCATCTGTCTCCAGTAATCTCCATAAGAACAAAACCCAATGTCTGTGCTCTTGTATAATATTATGTCGAAGGCTAATATTTTATGCCTCGATGCAAAAGCAAGGTCATGAGTTTTCAGTACCTCTCGCGCCATATCCATAGAAGAAACCACGACGGTAGAAATTTCGCCTACTTGAAGGTGCATGAAAGGTCCATATTTTTTGCCCAAATTTGTGAGTGCATGATGAGGAAGTCCACCTTCTAATGCCAAGTGATGAACACTTCCTATAAAGGGCAATTTCCATGGGCCTGGAGGAAGTTTTTTGTTTAAGTTTCTTGATTTTTTCCATTGCACAACTAGTAAATAGAGGAATGATAGGAAAAGGAATAAGAAAATGAAATTGAATGTAAATTGAAACTCCATTAGATAGCTTAAGCTTAAAGACCTAGTATACACTTATCAACGTTTGGTGAAGGCAATAAACTAAGTATAAAGTATAAACTAAATGAATGTTGAGTTCAAGATAGAGATGATGTATATATACACTTGCCACCGTTTGGTGAAGACAATAAATCCGTTTTTAATTTTATTGTATTCAATTATCATCTAGTTGATATCTATAACAACCATTAAATTAGAAACGGCTATGATGTGGAAAATTTTATGCCAATCAATATTGATTATTGAGTATCGATCTATTATCACTATCTTTTGGACCCAACACGTGTTGATTTTTCTTTTAAATTAGTGCCACGTAGGTCGAAAAGGGGTAGAAAATTATCTATAAAATTATTTCGATGGTAATAGGGCCTGTCTAAGTGTGTCTCTGAGATTTCGGGCATAGGTTGAGGGATACTAATGCATTTTTCCAATAAATTTTGATGAAAATATGAACATGAGATATCAGAGTGAGTCGCTTATGCTATAAAAAATCAGTAAGAAAAGTCACTGCTAGAAACAGAGGTTTCCCCACCTCGATTACTCAAACAAATTGTGTTATAAAACATGATTTTCTCATTCATTTTCCACCTAACCTGCTCACTAGAAAAACACATGGCGGGAAATAAATACCGGAAGTAAATGAACTGATCATTGAACGACACATGGATATATTACATACAAGCTTGAAACAAATATCATTAAGTACATAATTCACAAACAAAAAAAGAAGAACAGAGAGGATAGAATACCGTGACTCCTATATCAAATATCATTCATGAGAAGGAGTGGCAATCAAGTAAAGTTCACTCTTTCTTGCTGCCGTTATTCCGGAAAATTCAGTTATGTCCACATCCTTAGGCTTCAAACCATCAGGTAATTTCCAATTAAAATGATATAACAATTTAGCTAGCGGAAGATAAACATTGATCAAACCAAATGACATTCCAGGACACATTCTCCTTCCGGCACCAAAAGGAAGATACTCAAAGTTATTCCCCATAAAATCCACTGAGCTCCCATCGAATCTCTCAGGGATAAAGCTTTCTGCGTCATCCCAATACTTTGGGTCCCTCCCCATTGCATAAACATTAACCATCACTCGTGTTTTTAATGGGATAGTGTAACCGTTGATGTTTGTTTCTTCTCTGCATTCTCTGGGGACTAAGAGAGGGACTGGAGGATGAAGTCGTAAGGTTTCTTTAACAATTTGTTTTAGATATTTCAATTCCTCAATATCATCTTCATCGAAATCGAAAGTTTCTTTTCCTTTGAATGCTTCTCTAACCTCTGCTTGTACCTTTGCTAATACATTTGGGTTTCTCATCATTTCTGTCATGGCCCATATTGTTGTTGTTGCTGAAGTTTCTGATCCCGCAGCGAACAAGTCCTACATTTCATTATCAATCTAAGAAGAATTAACGTGATACGTGTAGTTGCGCGTCCATCTAACTGCTTAAACTAAAAATAGTATGTATGTTAAAGAATGACAAAAAATCCACATCGGTGGTTAAGAGATGGGTGGACTCCTTATAAGGCTTGGACAATCCTCTTTTCTTTGAGCTAGCTTTTGAGGCGTGAGTTAGGCCTAAGAACTTATTTCACAATGTATATAAATTTGAAAAAATTTTCCCTATAAAAGTAAGAATACTTACAATCATAATTGCTTTGATGTTGTCATTGGTGATTGGGATTTTAAGTTCCCCACTCTCCATTAATCTTAGTAGAACATCAACTAAATCTTCACCTCCAAATGCACCATTCCCTCTTTTACCGCATGCAAGATTCTTTTTGTGCTCATTGATAGTATCCTCAACAATAGCATCAACATTTTTGTGAATTTTCAAGATTCTATTCCTCAATCCACTTAACACATGAAGTATCTTGATTGAAGGAAAAATATCAGCAACACTAAATCCACTAGCTAATTCCACCAATTCCTTCACTAATTCAATGAATTTCTCTTGATCTTTCAACAATTCCCCAAATGCTGTTTTGCATGTGATTGAGCTCTGATACCATAAAATCCTTTCCGTAACATTTATTGGCTCGCGACATGTTGATGACCGGATGAATTGCACAAGGCGTGAAGCCTCGTCCCGTCTGATGGAACTAAAGGATCGTACGTTTTTGGTAGTGAGAAGTTCCAAGACACATACTTTGCGCATCTGTCTCCAGTAATCTCCATAAGGACTAAACGCGATATCAGTGCTCTTGTAACATATTATGTCGAGGGCTAAGAATTTAGGCCTCGATGCAAAAGCAAGGTCATGAGTTTTTAGTACCTCTCGTGCCATATCCATAGAAGAAACTATGATGGTAGAAATTTCGCCTAAATGAAGGTGCATGAAAGGTCCATGTTTTTTGCCCAAGTTTGTGAGTGCATGATGAGGAAGTCCACCTTCTAATGCCAAGTGATGGATACTTCCTATAAAGGGCAATTTCCATGGGCCTGGAGGAAGTTTTTTGTTTAAGTTTCTTGATTTTTTTCATTTCACAACTAGTAAATAGAGGAATGATAGGAAAAGGAATAAGAAAATGAAATTGAATGTAAATTGAAACTCCATTAGATAGGTCAAGCTTAAAGAGGGGTCATGCATGTATAGGTTTTAATTCTTCTGGCCTAATATATAATCCTAATGTCAGTAAGAAAATGAGTTGAGAGTA